CATGAAAATTTGAGGGCAGTACATGTCAGGTGACATGAAGCTAACTCCTGCCTGTATTCCAGTGTTACTTCAAAGTCAAAGGGTTGGGACTCCCTGATGACCACAAAGGGAAAATTGTTATTTGAGCAGACAAGCACCAGAGTAACAATGGAGTTGTAACATATGTCACTTCATGTCACCTGACACCTACTGCCCTCAGATATTTCCTGGTGATATATATATATATAAAGCCCAAAAGTGCCCCCCCTTTTTCGTCTGAGACTTCAGACAGAACAGAAGGACAGCCGCTGCCTGCAGCGGGAACTCCTAGCATCAGCTGACCTCTCTCTAAATACTTTGCCATGCCCTCTGTTAAATTGAACACCACAAAACAACTTGCTCATGCAGGACGTCCTGACAAGTCTGGAGAACTCCCTCCCAAAGAAGCCTCAGCCAAAAAGGAGGGATTGACTAGGTGGTTAAGCTCAACCATAAAGACATCACTTGAGATATTACACCTGATTTATTTTGGTCAAAAGATATCTTGCGAAAAGTGACATGTGCATATCACATGGACAGATGTGTTTGTCTACATACACAATTAGTATGATATGGAAGCATTTTGGAGTGTATTTTTGCGGTGTACAAATTACAAGAATACAAGCATACAAGCATACATACAACAGACACTGAGAACATAGGATGATTGTTGATCCAAAAAAAAAAACAGAATGCAAGAGGACATGATCACCTTGTTTTATCCAAACAAAAACCGATTGTTTTTCTTTTTTTTTTCTTGAGTCATCTTCTTCTATTGTATACTAGCACAAACACACAGAAAAACAGAAACAAAAACAAAAAACGATGATCAATGATTTTGTTTAAAAAAAAGAAAAGAAAGTGCCCTCATGTATGTGTGGAGTCCGATATATAAGGGAACAAGATTCCGATGTGAGAGTCTATGATTTTTCGGGTAGGTTGAGGGGAAAGGGCGGGTGAAAGAAAGTATAACAAGACGAAAGGCAGGAAAGAAGGGGGTTAAGAAACGGGATGAAGGTTGAAGGAGGAGACGATATCGAAGACGTTAGGTCTGTGGGAGTCGGTATGAAGTCTGGAGAGTGAAGGCCGAAGTTTCTGATTAGAGGCGGGAAGGAGAAGAGGCTGATTGGGAGCTTTGAGGGTATCATGCGAGAGTTGGGAGGAGTGAGAGGACGGACGGTCGTGGGTCGAGGAGGCAAAGGAGTGCGGTCTAGAGATCGAGGAGGAGAAGTCCCAGGGCGGACAAGCAGAGAGATTAGTATTCTCTGAATAATCGTCGAGACGAGTAAGTGGGGATGCAGATGGGTGTTGGTTTTTAGAGGAGGAAGCGTCATTTTGAGGACCCGGCGGGGAATGGGAGAGGAGGGGAGCATGGTCGAGCGGAGGGGCGCGGAGGTTAGAGGGTGCGAAGAAGCGGCGTTCCTGGCGGAGTTCGAGCGGCGGAAGGTCGGCGAGGATGGCGTGGAGGAGGAAAGCCTTGGGCCGGGCCTGGCGGAAGAACTTCTCTCTGAAGAGCAGCTGACGCGCCGTCGGTCGGAGCGCAGGATCTTTGCTGAGACAGCGGTCGACGAAGCGCTTGAAGGCCTTCGAATACTCGTACGGCGCCCCCGCCCGGCGTCGCTCTAACGTCGGCGATGGCTCCTGCACCGTCTTCATTAACACTCTCGCTGGCGATATCATCGCATAGGGCGCTTTCCCCACTGCCATCTCTAATGCGGTGATTCCAAAGGACCACTAACATATAGGCGCCACCATCAGCATTGTTCTGGGTGAGAGTTCTTTAACAGTTGAGGGGGGATGCTTACGATATCCGCCCGATCGTTGTATAACTGGCGGGTGACTACCTCCGGAGCCATGAAGAGAGCGGTGCCGACGAAGCTAGTCTGACGGGTGAGCAGCGGATTATTAGTAGAAGCCGGGAGGGGGGAGGAGGAGTTGGAAGCGGGGCTGGGGATGCCGAGCTGGTGGTGATCGGGGGAGCGGTCGATGCTGACGCCGAAGTCGGCGATGAGGACGGTGCCGTCGTGGTCGAGGAGGAGATTAGCGGCCTTGAGGTCGCGATGGATCCAGCCGTTCGCATGGAGATAGTCCAAGCCGGCGATGGCCTGGATGAGCACGGTGGCAATCACCGGCTCTGGGAGCCCATCTTGAAACCGGAACCGGAGCAGGTCGGCGATCGAGCCGGCTTGCATGAGCCGCATGGCGATACACAGCGAGCTCTCCTCGATCCATTCGCCTCGGACTCGGAGCACGTTGGGATGTTTGGCGAGGGACATGAGCAGGGTCTCCCTACGTAAATACTCGATCTGTTTCACCGACAGCCGGTCGATGTCGATCACCTTCACCGCACACAGCTCCCCGGGGCGTGGCTTGAAGTGGGCCAGCCTGACGACCGAGGAGGCCCCGAACCCGATGTGGGATCCGAGCAGATAGTCCTGGGGGTCGTTGGAGTACATCGGCCATTGGTCGGTGACTGAGCCGAGGATCCTCTTGCGATGCGAGGAGAGCTCGGTATAGTCGGTCTGGCTGTTGTCGATGTGTGACTTGTGATGATGAGGATGATGGGTAGCTGGGCTGCTGTTGCTGCTGAGTGCGGTTGGGTTGGAGTGGATGGAGTCGGTGAATGAGGATGAGAGGTGGGAGATGGTCTGGTAGGTTGCAGAGAGGCGGCTGATGAGGGTGCTGCGGCGGTTCTTCTTGGTTGCTGAGGATAGCTTGGATGAGGTGGTGAGGGTGGTTGAGGCTGAGGTGGTTGAGCAGTTGGAGAGTGTCTTGGTGAGCTTGAGCTTGTTCTTCTCGTCTTCCGACTTGCGACGCAGACCGAGTGAGCTGAGCATCTTGGGCATCAGTTTTTCTGAATTTGGTTGGTTTAATGCAGCACCCAAGCAAGAGAGCTCTTCCTTTTGTACCCTCCCTCGACTCGCGAAACACTAGAATCAACCGATTTCGGTAGTCCGCCTTCCGCTCAGACTGAACACCAATTAAAGGGAGCACTAAACCATCTTCAAGGAGTCTAGATGGACAACTGTACAAAAAACGCCAAGACTACAATGCCCGTTTCAAGAGCCTACCGACCAGAGCAAAGTTTGTACTATACTGATCAACCACTCTATAATTACCAAGGGGGCCTTGATAGGATCAATAAATAGTCAAGTTTCATCGAGAGCAGAACGTTTGTCCAAGGCTACAAACAGCGACGACCCCCCTCCATAAATACTCCATCGAAACACACGTTCTGCAACAAAGTCGAGGGTCCAGACTGCCACTAGAAATATGTCGTCATCTATCTCATCTGTTGCGTGAGAGAAAATCCGTGTGTGAGTGTGTTATCGTGTCTTTGATACCCAGCAGCCTTATAATCACCCACCGCATGATTCAAAAGTTATAGTACACCTCTTCCGACCGAAACCTTAATTTTCACAAGGTCTTGGCCGATTGATCATTGGTGGTGTCAAGATACACATTCACACATCCATTAATCGAGGGTCTGGATGGAGTCTCTGGAGTCTGGACACAAAATTAGTGTTCATAATATAGAGGACGGGATATCGCTTTGTTTGGATGCTGGTTGGTTGTTAATGTGGCATTAAGGCTATGCTATAGGAAACCGAAATTAGGGCCAGTTGAGTTCACAGTCAAGCACCAGAAAAAAAGTCGGGCTGTTAATCTCCTGGATAAGCTTCACAAGAGCATATAAGCTCATCGCAAAAAAAGGAACAACAACAGATTGATTTATGGACCAAGTTCATTGGGGCAGATCAATAAAAGTATCTTCATATTGGAAAAGATGTGGTAACTTGCCGATGATCAGATGAAAAATTAAACCTGAAATAAGCAGTCTGACATGGGTGAACTGTTTTGTGTTTTTATTTGGGGGGGGGGCACAGCAGTTTCATAAGTGGATCTGGCCTTGGAGGCAAGATTTCCTCAAAGAAACATAATCATAGACTTTGGAGGTGGGTTGAAATTTTTGGATCACCAGATCTGAGCTCACACCACTTCTGTGGGAATTGTCACTCCAAATTGTACATCTAAGACAGTGTCCTGTCCAGCTGATTTTACCAAACATTATAAATCCTACAGCCATTAGTGGCTGCTTGTGTCTCTTGAGGATGGTAAATACCAATCAATCCCATTTATAATAAGATAATTCATCATTTTACTTCATCAAGAATAAATTGTGCTTGATATTGTAAATGGGTAGCCATACTATCCAGATAACAAAAACCTCTTGATGCAATCATGCTATCTACCTGGTGTATAAAATGTTAGTCTATTAATGGCCTTCAAGAGCAAATGTGGATCTTTCATTATGGATATTAGTAGCAATAGGATAGTTCACGTCTGAAATTTAAGCCAAATTTAATCACATTTATCATTAACATTTTCAAAATTTGTCAGAAGTCTCAAATTGCTCCAAAACTGATGACTGATCATCAGATTTGACATAACTGATAGAATTTTATCCATGAGATATGCTCAAAGTTAGCTTGAGCTTCAGACATGAACCGGCGGCCTGTTAACTAAACAACAGGGGGAAAATAGTTCACTTTGCAAATATCTGCAATCGAACTACTGGTAAGACCTCTGCTGCTGATTAGCCAAGAAAGTTCCAACACATTCATGGAGACCACCTTCATTAGTAAGATCCCAACATCAAGCTATGCTAACAACAAAACACCCATACATCATCAGAAAACCTCATTCAAAATAAACATGTTGTCAGCATGAACTGGAGAATCATCCTCCCCAAGCAGTTATTCTGTATACTAGCTCAACCAGGAGGTTGAATACTCAGCAAGCTCGTACATTCTCTACCAAATTGTCTGCAAGAATATCTTACACTTGCCAAGCTGGTGGGACTGTACAATCTTGCCACGGATGGATGGATCTCCTTGGTGATTTGGTACAGGTCATACTAGCTTGCCAAGGGTTCTTGTTGAGATGAAAACTCTCTGTGATTGTTTATCATCATCATTCATGAGACAGTTTCTACATCAGACTCAAACTTGTTTTGTTTTCAAACCAAAAAAAAGTACAAGTTTTGTCTGGAACCTAACTCAATCAAGCTCATCAAACTCTATCCTTTGTCTTGAATCTCAATCTCACTCCAAAATCCACTGTATATCCAAATAAAACTGTACCCACTTTACTCTCCTTCCTTCTTGTAACTCCCTTTTACTTTCATATTATTCTTGCAAGTATTCAAGCTCCTGCTAAATCTATTATTTTCCCTGTTTTAGTTGAATTTTTTGCCATTTTTTTTTCACTGTTAAAATATTTTCTCAATGATTTATTGAATCTTTCAGGTTTTCTCCTTTATTCATGGAATTCCTTTTTTTTAGTCTATGTCATGGTCTAACAATTTTTTCTATGATAATTTCTCTCTGTTGCTGCTCCAATTCTTATTTCTTGTTGACATCAACCCGTTTTAAATCGGTGGTATACATCCCAGTTTAACTGGGATGCCATCAACCAAGCCATTTATGCTGCCTGTGAAATTGACTATTAGAAGCCAGTCACTTTCACAAAAACAAAACTGCATCAATGGGTCCCCCAAAGGGTTCAATAAGGAACCAACATCTTTAAAAAATGGTTGATTTTTTGAACATGTTGGTTGTCAATCAAGTCATGGTAGATTTGGTTATATTCGATACCCCCAATTAAAAAAAGGGGGTTGGAAAAATGATTCCCCAATTTTAGTCAACAAATCCCAATAGCCGTCATCAGACATCCATTTTGGGTTGTATTCTTATGGGGCTGCTTTTGGGAGTCATCCCACTAATCTTTTTTTCATTGTTTTCATTGTTTTTCTTTGATTTTTTAGGAGTTGGTGCCCCAAACCACTCCTCATGCATGGGGGTGGGGAGTTGCTCCCACCTGAACGGAAGGAATTGCTTCTGGTCAGTGAGGTAGCTGTACCTCACTGACCAAAAGGGGTTCCTCTCGGTCAGAGAGGCGCAACAACCTCATTGACCAGAAGGAATCCCTTCCAGTCAATGAGGTACAGGGTTCCTTCTGCTCAATGAGGTACATCAACCAGAAGGAATCCCTTCCGGTGTGGTAGTCAAAAATGTGAAAATTCAAAGTTTTTTCTTTCTTTCTTTTCTTATATATATTTTCTTCATATTATCACCCAATCTCTCTCAGAAATCACACCATACGGCTCAAGAACTGGACTCTACGGATAAATCCACCCTTGGTCACCTTGGAGGCGTCACTGGAACACACCTGGATCAACTCTTACCCAACACGGGACAACATATCACAAGGATTTCACCCATCATTACATATCACCAAACCCAATTACAACCCTCAAGCTACACAGACACCCTCAGTACAGTACACACTCATTTACATATACACTCATTTACATACATCTACACTCTTTACATTTCACTTCTACATATTACATCATACCTGCAGCCTAAATTAGTGTATTTTCCATGCATGACAGCTGCAGCTTACACCACCACACTCACTTGTAAACACATCAGAACCTGACCAATCAGAATCACTCATTCAGCTGCTTGGATCACCACTTCAACTCTTGTACATGTCTGACCAATCACATTCACTCATTCAAATTTTGTATGTAGCTAAAAATACCTCATGTAATAGCCCAGGCCAGCCAAAATCACTCATTACTGGCTGCCCTGGAGCTAAATTCCCTCACTGTTGTATATATAAGGAGGCTCTCCTCCCAGTTGTTTAATCCTCAGTCAAGTGACACTCAAGCAATATTTGACCACCTTCACACAAACACTTTAAAGCGCCAACCAAACACCAAATCAACACTCTTCATCACACAACTCATTCCTGAACTTTACCCTATCACTTGATTAAAACTTGCCAAGCTAAGCTTGGTGGGTCTTGTTATCTGATAGTATAGAAGGGCAGAGCTTTCACTCCATCATCCCCTTCTCAATTCAGCAAAAAGGGTCTTACAACCACTTTTTGAGTCTTACAAGGGAGTCCCCAACGTGATAGGATAAACTTGTGTGATCTACATCAAGTAATCGAATTTCAACAAATAACGAGAAGGAATCGTCGAAGGATCACTAACTTCAGCGGGAACTGGATCAAATTTATCAACCATATTTGCGACTACTCAGCAGCATATTCAGTTATTCTGTTGATCAACTAGTCAAACTTCAACAAACAATTCAATGACACCACCGACCAACCTCTGAAAAGAAAGTGTAGGAATCGACTGAAACGAGGACTCGAGGAAGACAGCCAGTTATTAACCAGAAGAAGGAAGATTATTGAAGGATCTGGATAACTAGGATACTGTTCAACGACAACTCAGGAAATATTTGAAAAAAGCAGCTGCTTATAGACCAAAAGAAGGGCAAAGGTACCCAAAGGATTTGGATAAGTAGGTTCTGTAAAAGAAGAAATTCCCAGTATTTAACTGATCTATTATTTAAAAGAAAGCCATAAGCTTGCCCTGGTAGAGAAACCAGCGACCAAAGTTTTATTTGTTTCTTTTTCAGAGCAGCCGTTTGTTTAGGTATTGAAGGAACGTCGAGGAAGTAAACCTAGGAAAATCAATCAAAATCAACATGAGTCTACCATTCAGTACACCACATTTGGAAGACAGATTTGGACCATCAACCCCTTTTAGGAACCGATTTCAAGACCGACCTTCAGGATCATCTTTTAGTTGGAATTCGGAAAATATCTTGCCACCACCAAAGGATAAAGGAAAGGGTAAAGCGAGCGAAATACGGGATCTAACAGAAGAAGACTCAGATGCAGGTGACCCTACGCCTCAAGCACATAACTTACCTCCGCTGTCTGGATATGGGCTTCACAACACCCAGAATGCAGATGAGCCAGTGTATAATCGACAACAACAACAACAACAACAGCCACAACCGGAAAATCAACAACCAATCCCTCAAGTCGCTCCAAAGATTATCAAAGAACCAGGACTTTTTTACGATGGAGAAAACTTCGGAAAATTCCTGATGCGATATGAAAGAGCGGCAAGAGCATTCCATGCCACGGACTACGATAAAGCATTGCAAATTGGCCGATTCATGAAAAACGAGGAGCTCAAGATCCAATTGGAAGCCATGGATGGGTTCGAGACCTGTGAATGGAACAAATTACGAAAGGAAATGGTTGAAACCTGGGTAGAGTTGGATAATACGATCTTGTACACAACCAATGACCTAGTGGATATCACCAAAGAATACGGCATAAATGGCGGAATCAAGGATCATCGGGAATTCAAATCTTACTTAGGAAAATTCACCACTATCCTTAAATACTTAGTGACCAACAAGCAAATTCACAAGAAGTCAGACGCATC